AGAATTGAACTTGAAGATTTCCCCCCATGAATTCATGTTTGGGAGATAATTACTAGTGAGTAATAATGTCACTGACTGAGGTTTTCTAAGAAACAAACACTCTTCAGTGTATAGACTTTGTTAATAGCTGAAACATAAATGCTAAATCAATGGAGATGTTTTCAGACTGCAGAGTAGGACACCTAGTTTTTCATTTATTCAGCAACCTACACAGTGCCTACTTTTTGCCAAATACTCTGCCAGACATTGGGGATGAACAGAGAAGTCCTGGAAGTACTACGGTGTATACTGAGCTGAGTAGGGAATTTGGATGGGTAAACGGATTATTGGGGAACAGTGTCCTAGGTGCTGTAATGGAGGCGTGCACAGTTCCATTGGAGCAGTTGGAGGAAGGCTCTACTGCTAATGACATTTGAGTTGATTTTAAAAAATATATATTTTATTGATTTTTTACAGAGAGGAAAGGAGAGGGAGAGTTAGAAACATCGATGAGAGAGAAACATCGATCAGCTGCCTCCTGCACACCCCCTACTGGGGAGGTGCCCGCAACCAAGGTACATGCCTTTGACCGGAATCAAACCTGGGACCCTTGAGTCCACAGACTGACGCTCTATCCACTGAGCCAAACCAGTTAGGGCTTGAGTTGATTCTTAAAAGTCTGCCAGGTTGAAAGGAAGTAAAGGGATATTCCTTATAGAATGAATGTTCTTGGGTGGTCTGATTTCTTTTAGCTAGGAACTTGTACAATCTAGGCATAGATAAGTAACAACCATTAAACTTCTTAACTCAAATAGCAGGTCTTCAGTGGACCTTTAGCTTGTACTTGAGTGCAACAACTTCACGATGAAATTGTCTTCCGGGCCTGCAGAAATTTTGGCACATGGTCAAAGCCCAGTACATAGTGGATGGATTGATGGATGAAAGGACACGGTGAGTCCTACGTCATAGATATCACAATGTGTGGATGAGGTAGAGTTGTCACTGTTAGAAAACTTGGAAGCAAATTTATATTTTCAGCCAAATAGGAGAGCAATTTAATTTTGTACAGCAAAGGGACCTAGCGATAGAGCCCATATTTCCCTCAGCAAATAGCGTGGGCTCTTATGAATTACCTGCACAAACATTTAGCTTGGTCTCCAGGGTCCTGCCCTATGCAGCATGAAAGGAATGAATTCCCTCTAACAAAGGTTAAGGGCAGGTATTACCAGCTAATCACAACATCCCTGAACTTTCGCCAGGCCTCTGCGGAGTCTCTGATTTTAAATAGAGCCGCCTCCTCGCCATCCCTGTAGAATTATTCAGCTGTGCAGTGTGTGCCCGAACAGTTCAGAGTCTTGGCCCGTGGAAGGGGTTATTCTAGATAAATGATTACCAAGTGCAGTATAAGTTTTGGTGTCCTGATGTTGAGCAACTTCTCCCAACAATAACTAGTCATCAGGCCCACAGATTCTTAAGACTCATTTAGAAGAATACACACACCCTTTTCTTTTAGTCTCCGGAATTATGTGTCCACCTGCTTGACTGTTTTCTTGGATGTCTCCGCTCTCTCAGACATAAACAGGACCATTTATACATCTTACTGTTCACCACCTGCTCCAGATCTGTACCTTCTTTTGCTGTGTGCCGCTCTCACTAAATGGACCACCGTTTACCTAGTAACTCAAGGAAGGGAGGAGCAAGTTGTTAATTCTTGACATCCTTCCTCAGCCCGCAAATTTAGCCAGTCAGTTTCACGTAATTGTCTGACATCCATCTACCTTTCTTCATTGGATGTGCCATCAGCCATCATCATCCATTTGAACTACTGCCCTGGCCTCCTAACTGGCCCCCTGCTTCCACTTCCGCTGTTTCTGATCAGTTCTCCACACGGCGTCTACAGTCATCTTTGTAAAACGTCATCAAAACATGTTTGATTATGTCATCTCATGCGTACAAGCCTTCACTGGCTTCCCTTTGCGCTGTAGCTAAATAAAAAGAATTTACCCTGGCCTGCGTGGCTGGGCATGATATAGCCCTGACTTACCTTTCCAACTTTATCTTTTCCCGATTCCTTCTC